TTTCTCTCTCCCTACACACACTGTGAAGATACCATGAGAAAACAGCTATGTAAAAACCAGGATGCAAACCTTTGAGAGACAGTATATTTGCCAGCCACTTGATCTTGGAGTTCCAGTCGCTAGAACTGAGGGAAACTTCGGTGCTCTAAGCAGCTCCCTGTGTGGCTTCTAGCAGCTGGAACTGATGAGACAGCTCTCTCCTGTGGTTCTGGATTAGTAACTAGGGAAGGCTGTGCCCTCTGCTATCCTTACAGATTCCACACTGGCACTCCCTCTGGGCAGCTCTCTACCTCTTGTCGCTGTCCACTCCAACCTGCCCCATGCCCCCTGCCTCCCGTGTTCCTCACAACTCCTCTTCCAGTAAAACCAACCCCAGAACTTCACCACTGCTGTTCCATTTCTATTTATGGGTTAAGGAAGGGGAAAGATAAAAACAGCAAGGCTGAAAAAGGGTAGAAACTTTAAAAATCTTCCTACTCTCCTAACCATGGGCTCTAGACTGTGTCCCAGAGCCTATTACTAAATAATGGGTCAATAAACAAATGCAATTGTCATGTTTGTTATTCTCTTGATTATCGAAATTAATGGAGTATGACCTAAATGAATTCTGGTTGAGAGGTAGAGAAGAAAGCTAACCCCTTTTGTGGGAAAGGCATCGCAAAGGACTCATCTTTTCTTATTCTGAGTATTTGCAAGCAAGAAGAGAGAAAGCCTGTCCTTAGTACTTACATCTCTGATCAGGGGTGTTGTTAAAGAGGACTGAGGTTTTTCCTGGGATTCACAAGGGGTGATCACAGAGAAGAAAATGTACACCTCAGTGTGTAGCAAGTAAGCTTGTGGGTGAAAAGAAACTGAGAGTCCAACAGAGATGAAGTACAGACATAACTAGGGAATGGATATAAAGTTGAGTACTGGCGACCTTTACATAAGGCTTTTAGGGAAAGGCAAAATCAGACTATGTTTTTTTTTTCTTTTCCATTTTCTTTCATGTTTTCAGACACTAAGGAGGTAACCTTCAATAGCACAGATGTTGATAGGAGGCCTTTACTTGAACAATACTCTGAAGATTCAAGTCTTTCTTGGGAGACATCATCTTTGGAATTCTTTTCTCCAGATTCAAGATAAGTTGGAAAGATAATCAGCAATTTGGGTCCCCTAAGGTCAAGCCCTGGGCTTCACAAATTATTCTATGCAACGTTCTCAAGAGAGGTGATATGGCCATGTAGTAGATGAAGGAAGGCAGATAAAGCATCAAAAGATCCATCCAAGGAGTAGCAAACCTACGTGAATCAGGTATGCATGATTCCAAGGCTTATGCTTTACATTCATGTCAATTCTTTCTACTCTAGTATTTAAGATGTGCCTGTGATAGCATCTGCAGCTCACTGAATATTTCACAACACAGTGTGAAGTTGTGTCATGTACCTGTGTGCTTCAGCTGAAGGTACAACTTAAAGGCTGCTCACTTGGGCCTGGGAAGCCCCCAGCTGGAGTGGGACATGGCTCTTAGACCAGACTCACTGCAGCCACTTGGGAAGTGGCTGCTGGCAGGTACCTGCTGTCTACTTCCAACCAACTTAATGAATGCCAGATTGGATTTTTGTAAGTGAAATACTGCTTTCTTTGTGAGAATCAATGATAGAAAACAGATCTCAAAGCTAAAATTAAATATAGTCAGTCATTTGCAAAAATATCTTAGAGACTCCCCACCCTTGAATGAAGATGGCACTAGAACCCAGTGAGGGCTGTGGCCTAGGTCCTGATGCGTGGGGCTGGAGCTGAGCGTTTTGGAGCTGACACCAGTTCTAAGAGTGGCTGAGCCCCAACCGTTCAGGGTTGCTGCTTTGAGAACATTTTATCCCAGGCCTGTAAAATCAGGGAGCTGGAGAGTACCTGATCATACGACACAGTTTGCATTAAGCATGTTGTACTTAACTTGCTAATAAATGTAAAAGCACAAGAACCTAGTCTATGAATGCTTTTGTTCCTCTCTGGCTGGAAATCTATGCGGGATTCGTTGATTCTCATGCATCTGACTTTCTAGTGGTTGATGTTATCTCTTAGAAAGAATGTAAAGATGTGTATGTAAAATAATTCTGTCTGACCTGTAATTCTGCTCTTCAGATTATTTGCATCAGAGTCACTTGAAATTGAGAATTCTTCATTTTCCCAAAATCTTATGTCTGAAAGCTCTAGAAGCAAGGCCAGGGATTGTATTTGCTCTGTAATAAGTTCGTTGACTGGTTCTTTTCTATGCTGAGGATTCATTCAATGAGGATAGGATCAAAACGCATCATGACCGTGTGCTAACAGTATACCACAAAAGCAGACCCCAGATACAACAGGAAGCCATAATTGCTAGATTTGAACACCATAATCTGAAAAGCAGTAATACATAGCGCACCATAAAGTCCTATGCCTCGTGACCTCGATGCCACAAATGTGCGGTTATAGCTCTTTGTTCATTCATCTAGATCAAGAGAAATAGAAGCTGTCTCAGGCATTCAGCGAATCTATCCACAGGTAATAGTTTTCTAGGGAAGACACGGTTAGAGATTGTCAATAGGTTCTCAACTCTCAATTGTGATCCGTTTCCCATGACGGCTATGAGGCCTGTTGGTCAGGAGTCCATCATAGTGACTATGTGTTGGGAGGGAAACCAGTTTGGTTATTAAGTGGCTGTCTTTTCTTTCCCATCAGTCAGCCTTGGTTCACTCACTTATAAGACATCCTGTCTGACTTTCATTTACTCATCGAATATTTACTGAGAAACTCTGTAGAATCAATGCGGTCTCAGCTCCCAATGAAGATCGTGATAGATTAAAGCAGTGCAGAGCAAGTTCAAGACTTCTGTCTCTCAAGTCGTCACTGATCAGAGGAGGAAGGTGCCATCAGAGGTCTTGTATTCAGAAGGTGGCCACACACTTAATGTCAAGTCGGGAAAGCTCCTAGGGCTTCTGCTTTTTTCTCTAGACAACTTGAAGCAAAATGTTTGTCTTGCCTATTTTACATAATTTACTAATTCACTCATAAATATTCATAGGTCATCTCTTATATCCCCCAAATCCCCAGTGGATTTGCGAGGAAACAATTCAGATGACATAAGCTCTCATGTAGGCCTACTCTAATAGCCAAAAGGAGACCAAGATACATATCATGATCCATAAATATGTATTTATATAAAAAGGACTATGCAACTATTTATGGAAATATTTTCAAACGCAATGACATATTTACATGTATTTTTGTTTTGTTTTGGATTTTTTTAAATGTATTTTAGTACAGGGTCTATAGGGCCTCATTACACAGATTGCACTTGTAGTGATCCTCCTGTTTTCAGACTCCCAAGTGCTGGGATTATAGGCAGGTACCACCATGCCCAGTCTTGTACATGTATTTTTGAAAATTTAAGACAAAGCCTTGCTTACGGATATGATGCATGGCTCTTACATTTCACATTTCATGATTTTGATAAGAAAGACAATAATCTAATGGAAAGATGCATTGATCTAACCTAGCACTTTAATAAAACATGTCTCCATATTTCATTCATGTTAAAAAAATATCATTTTCTGGCTAGATGCATTTTTCCACTTAGAAGATCTGCCAGGCCCACACTACAGTACTCTTTCATCCAGAATAGAACTTGTCATCTAGATTTTTTTTATTTCGTGCATTATTTTCATAGTTTGTGAATGAAGTATTTGGAAATGATGGCTTTTCGTAGGAGGTAACCCACAGTGGGCAGTCCCCAACATGGCCCCATAATCCCTGGCACTGAACACTCACACCTTTGTATAATCATACTTCTTGCAGTATGGTATAGGTTTACTAATCCACTTCTAACAAATTATATAAAACAGGTATCATAGAAAGGCACTTTATTATACCATAAAGAAAGAGTAATAAAAAGCAAGAAGGTATTCCATGTTGGGAATATTCTTTCTTGCTTTCTGACTTTTCCCTTCTCTCCTCTCTTTTCCTTCCTTCTGTTTCTATCTGTCTCACACTGTCCTTCTCCTGTGAAAACAGCAGAAAATGTCTGCAGGAGAGTCATTGCAGAGATACACTGAATGGAGAACCGAGGAGTCCAGCCAGCAACAACAACCCATAGGACATGTGAGAGATTTCAATCTAATAAAACATCAGAGATAATTAACTCATAAAGGAAAAGGAAGGCTTATTTTGAGTACAATTTAAAAATATCTGGTCCATGACTGGGCAGAACCATAGCTTTTAGCCTGTGGTGGGGTGCTGGGTCCAATGACAGACTGTAAAGTGGAATAAACCACTTATCTTATGACCAGAAAGGAAATATAGAATTTGAAAGGGGCTGGCATACCACAGTCTCCCCCAAGGGCGCGCCTCAGGGCCTGAGGACCTTCTGCAAGGCCCCATCTCTCAACAGCTCCACCAGTAGCACCAACTTGGAGAGCAAGGTGTTAACACATGGATTATCAGGATGCATTCAACATCCCAGCTCTCTAAGCGCTTGTGAGCCTATGGGAAGCATTCCCTTCAGTTCTGAAAACTTCCAATCATGAAGCCACAGCCAGCAATTTGAGTGCAACCTAGGGACAGGCCCAAATTAGCACCACCCGGCGAAGCTTCTCCTAAATTCTAATCTAGAGTCTGTGAAGTAAATGTTTGCTGCTCTAGAAAGTAGACTGTGGAGCAATTTGTGGGATAACCAACATATACTCCCAGGACCCAAATCTGGAGGATATTATTACAAAAATGAGTGAATTCTGAATCTCTTGTCTTATACTCTAAGAGCTGAGTCGGACTCGAAACATAGAGTGACATCACATGGATATGTTCATCATGAAGAAGCACAAATTTTCAATTGTTTTTAATTCCTTGGAATTATAGGCTGCTTTATCCTTTGATCTGCAGCATGAACTATAGATGCTCTATTAAATACAAAATAGTTTTGTAATCACATCTCACTGAAATTGCATTTTTTAAGCAAAGTTAACCAACAATAATGGCCTTCTTACCTCCAAAGAAGTACCTCTCGCCAGTTTTCACTTGAAGAGGACTGTTGGTCCGCACTGCTGACGCCTCGTCTCCATCAATGGTGAGAATAGCAAAATTTTCCTTGGCTAAGAAACGAACCTCGTGCCACTGTCCATCATTCAACCCAGAACCTGGGGGGTATGAAACAAGACTTGGTTCAGTTGGACAAGATTTAAATACATACACACTTTAAATACATACAATTTAAATATATATATATTATTTGCATATGTAAATATATAAGAAAATTTGTGTGTACAGTTTTTTTTACTACATATACACATATACAATATATATGTGTCTATCTATATAAAATTTTAAATTAACAAACCATCATTGTATCATATTTATGGAGTACAATATGATGTTTTGTATAGGCGGACACTGTGCAGTGATTAAATCAATTAGCATATGTACCATTGCACTCGCTTGACGTGGTTGCTGTGTCTGATGCATTTAAAATTTACCCTGTTGTTTTAAAACAAAAATAATTCATTATTACTAGCTATAGTCAGCCAAGGAGTTACTGGTCAAAATGAGAGGAGGAGTGAACACAACTTTTCAATAACAAAGTTAGTACTTTAGATTTCGTCAGGTATTTTCATCCAGGAAAGTACAGTGTTGCTTGTCATTTTGATTTTTCAAAGTTTCTTTAACATCACAACCAGTTCTTTCTTTTTTTCTCTTTCTTTCTTTCTTTCTTTTTTTTTTTCTTTTTCTTTTTTTTTTTTTTTGAACAGGGGATCGAACTCAGGCCCTTGCGCTTGCCAGGGAAGTGCTTATTTCCCTGAGCCATCTCCCTGGCCCCCGATCATAACCAGTTCGCTCTTCCACTGGACTGAGTAAAGCACGATGCGGCCCCATCAGGTGAATAAGTAGCACTGGGATCTACTGGACACTTGGGAAAAAGAACAGCTGCAGTAAGGCCTCACGGGAGGTGAAGGGGAGATATTTCCGCTGAAGAACTTATTTTCTGGACACATTCGCCACATTTCACTCTTGAATAAGAAAATAGACTTACACTTTTTAACTTAATATCTGATTTCCTTTCCATGACTGCATTTGTAATTGTAATTTGTATACACTAAGTACTACAGAAAAATACGCATTTAGTTACCTGTGATAACTAGCTACTAATGATCATGGGAACAACAGTGATATTTTCTGATTACTTATAAACAAGGCATTGTGGTAACTTAGTAAGTTATTAGTAAAAAAAAAAGCAATAAAATAAAACAACAACATCTACCAACAGCAGTCACAGTTCACTGTTTCCTAATACACAGATATTTGCAAATAGACTTTTTTCTGATGTATTTAATACAGGGTCTACAGGGTCTCACTACACAGATTGAGCTCAAAGTGATCCTCCTGTTTTCAGCCTCCCCAGTGCTGGGATCACAGGCATGTGCCACCACACCCAGTCTTCGTCACCCTCTCAGCTAGCCCCGGGTATGGGGCCCACATGGTACACTGGGAATCGAACCCTGGTCCCTGAGCCTGCCTAACCAGGTGCTTTTTAGACATTCTTTTGATCTCTACTAGATCGGATGTGGTTTAAAGTTTGTGAATAGCTTGCATTCATTTTACCAAGAATAAATAAAAAATGAAGGCACAGACTACAGAGGAGGCATAGGGTACAAGTATCAGGAGAGGCTAGGGAACACCGAGAAGCCCAAAGAGTCAGAGAGTCGGGCACTTTGTCCAGCATTGTAAAGGCTTATTTTATGACAAAAGGGACAGATTTTGTTCTAGTCTGCTCCGGATGGCATCATGTAAAATCCTCACAGAGCAGTTCCTTGAGGATGCACTTCGGTGTCACCAAAGCACACTAATAAGTAAGGATATTTAAAAATAGAACCCGAGTAAATCAATAAAGCACAGATGAAAGGTCTGGGCCCCTGATAATTCACACCGGTGTCTGTGAAGTGCATGCAGGACGTGGCCAGCTCACTGTCACTTGTTTTTGCATACTCCATGAGCTAAGAATGGTTTTTACATTGTTAAAAGATTGAAAAGAAATCAAAAGGGAACTAACACTAGCTGGCATGTATGCATTTCTGAACTGCAACGTTGGGTATCTCTATAAAACTTCATTGAAATATAGTCGAGCTCACTTGATTAAGTATCATCGTTCTGCCCTATAAGAACCTAGTCATAAAGCTGCCCTGGAGGTCACATGACCTTGAGGCTGAGACTATTTAATTCCTAGTTTTCTCCAGAATAAGCACTACCTAGCTAATGATTGCTTTATGTCATGAACCATTCTGGCCGTAGCTCCAAAGTTCAGGAAGACCTGTTGAAACTTAGAAGATAGTCAGGTGCCTGTATA